TTTTTAGTCAAAAATCGAATCTAAACGAGCACAAGAAGGTACATATCGAAGTGAAATCTCACAGATGCGGAGTGTGTGGTAAAGCATTTAAGAGAAAAAAAAATTTGCATCAGCATGAAAAAATTCATACAGGTGAAAAACCATATCAATGCGAATTTTGTGATAAATCATTTAAGTGAGTAACAAAAATCAGAAGAATTATTTAATAATGCAATCTCTGTGTTTAATGTAATTGGTAACAAATGATTAATTTTGCAACGATCATTTTTTAGTCGAAAATGGAATCTAACCGCGCACAATGTAGTACATATCGAAATAAAATCTCACAGATGCGGAGTATGTGACAAAACATTTAAGAGAAAAAGTAATTTGCGTCGACATAAAATAATTCATACAGGTGAAAAACCATATCAATGCGAATTTTGTGACAAATCATTTAAGTGAGTAACAAAAATTAGAAGAATTATTTCATAATGCAATCTCTATGCTTAATTTAATTGGTAACAAACGATTAATATTGCTACGATCATTTTTTAGTCGAAAATCGAGTCTAAACGCGCATCAGATCGATGCACATATCGATGCGAAACTTTACAAGTGTGACCAATGTGAGGAAAGTTTCATATTAAAACAATTGTTGCATTATCATATAAATGCGAAGCACAACGCTAAAACACCGTACAAATGTCCAGCTACATTTGCCTATCGTCGGACCTCCTCGGAAGCTTTAAGACAAAGTAATAGAGACGTACATACTGTAGATAAACCTCGTAGATGCGGAATGTGTAGTGAAACGTTTAAATATAAAAGTGATTTGCATAGGCATGAGAGAACTCATACAGGTGAAAAACCATATCAATGCGAGGTTTGTGATAAATCATTTAGGTGAGTACTTCAGTGAGTAACAAAAATTAGAAGAATTATTTGATATTACTATCTCTATGCTTAATTATATTGGTAACAAATGTTTAATATTGTTACGGTTATTTTTTAGTCAAAAATCGAATCTAGACAGGCACAAGAGAGAGATACATGACAATGAAAAACTTTACAAGTGTGCCCAATGTGAGAACTGTTATGCAACAAAACAAAGTTTGCATTATCATATAAACATGAAGCACAACGGTGAAAAACCGTATAAATGTAACGAATATCCAACTACATTTATCTATATTCCATTCGATATTACTCATACAAAAATACATAGAGATGAGGAACTACATCTTTGCGAGGTATGTATGATATGTATGTACCGTCAAATTATCGTTAGTGTTCTTTTCAATTATTTCTCATTTGGTTGTTTTTTTAACTTTACTTTTCTGTACTTATAAATATGCTCGATTTTATGTTTGCGGCATAACTTTTACTTCCAATGATAACCTAAACGTTCATAAATTTGTACATAGCGATTAAAAGTAGTATGAATGTTTGGTGTGTGACAAGAGCTTCCCGCGAAAAGATGATGTTATTACACATATGTTAAATCAGGTCATTCATGAGAAAACGTTTAAATCCATTAATAAATTCTCATTTGTCTTCTTATTTGTGATATATATTGGATTGAAAGAAAAATTCTGCGGTACTTTATTAGCACAAATTGGAAATACAATATTTTCGTTAAAAATGATTAAAATTAAAATTTAAAAAGGGTTTCAAAGCTTGAAATCTTTACTTTCGAACGGTTACTGTATTTTTTAAATTTATGTGGGTTTTGTAATTTCTATATATAGAAAGCTATGAGCTTAAAGAAAGGGAAATTTATCTTCTCACTTCATAGGTCTGTCATGTGCCAAAAAAATTTGTAAAAATTTTCGGTTTTCTGTATCTTAAAAATTTGGAATTTTTTTAC